AGTTGACGTTGGTCCGGATACTGGTGGCAGGCAGCGTCACCTGTCCCAGGGGTGACGCCATTTTAGCACTGAGGGGCTCTTGGAGTTGAAACTTTGCTTGGTGTGGGGGGTCTGCCCCCTGGAGCAAGAGGAGATAGGTCAGCTCCTGAGGAAATGGTGTCTGTTTCATCTTTCACCATTTGCTGTTAGCTCAATACATCGTTCTCTAGTTTTCTCTCACCTTTGAAAAGAAATTACAAGGCTCATGTCTGTAATCCTGCCACTTTGGGAGGCCAAGGCAGGTGGATCGCTTAAGCCCAGGAGTTCAAGAGCAGGCTAGGCAACATGGCAAAATCCTGTCTCTACAAAAAATATAAAAATTAGCCGGGCATGGTGGTGTGCACCTGTAGTCTCAGCTAGTTGGGGAGGATGAAGTGGGAGGACCACCGAGTGTGGGAAATTGAGATTGCAGTGAGCTGAAATTGTGCCAACTGTACTCCAGCCTGGGCCAAAAGAAGAAAGAAGCCACAAGTTCTTCATGTGATGTGATCACCTACATTACAGCTCTTCACTGTCCAGCCTTCTGGTTATTACCCTGGCCTTGGAGCCAACAGACCTGGCTTCAAATCCTGGCTCTCCCACTTATTAGCTATGTGATCTTGCAACATTAAGTCCTCTGGATGCCTCAATCCCATCAAGAAAGCAGGAATAGTTGCAGCCTGTATACCTCAGAGACCTATTTTGAAACTATTTTTTTTTTTTTAATGTAGCTAAGATGCTCACACAAGACTGCATAACGGAAACAGTCAACCAACAAAGCAATAAAGACAAATTATTTTGCTAGGTGCAGTGGCTCACGCCTGTAATCCCAGCACTTTGGGAGGCTGAGGTGGAAGGATCATTTGAGCTCAGGAGTTCGAGACCAGCCTGGGCAACATGGCAAAACCCCATCTCTACTGTAAATACAAAAATTAGCCGGGCGTGGTGGTGGGCACCTGTAATCCCAGCTACTCAGGAGGCTGAGGCAGGAGAATCACTTGAACACAGGAGGCAAATGTTACAGTAAGCCAAGACTGCATCACTGCACTCCAGCCTGGGCGACAGGGCAAAACTCCATCTCAAAAAAAAAAATTAAAATATATGACCTGCTCCTCTCTCCAACTTGATCTCTTGCTACTTCCCAGAATGCAATGATAGATTGCTTGCAGCCTTCTACATGCCATGCAGTCTCCTATTCTAGGCCTCCCATGCTGTTTTGTGCTTTTCAGCACCAGGCACATAGTAGGCACTCAATAGTCTACAGAAAAAACATTTGCCTAGAATTCCCTTGCACCGTTCTTCATCTGACAAGCTCAGTTTAAAGGTATCTCCTCCAGGAAGCCTGCCTTGATCTCTGAGTTGGGCTGAACTCTCCTCTGTGCACACATGCTTCGTGGCACTTCCCATGTGGTACTAACATTGCTGATGTGCCTTCCTTCCTCTCTAGAACACCATTAGCTCCTCTAAAGAGGAGCCAGGGCCCAGCGTGGTGGCTCACACCTGTAATCCCAGCACTTTGGGAGGCTGACATAGGCAGATCACTCGAGATCAGGAGTCAAGACTAGCCTGGCCAACATGGTAAAACCTGTCTCTATCCAAAATACAAAAATTACCTGAGCATGGCAGTGCACATCTGTAATCCCAGCTACTCGGGAGGCTAAGACAGGAGAATCACTTGAACCTGGAAGGTGGAGGTTTTAGTGAGCTTCCGTTGCACCACTGACTCCAGCCTGGGCAACACAGTGCGACTCTGTCTCAAAAAAAAAAAAAAAAAAAAAGGAGCCAGGCCTAAGGCATCTTTGCATTCTCGTGCCTTGGCATCCGGTAGGTGCTCAGTAAAGGCTCAGCTTTTCAGTGAGGCTACACTTGCCCCCAGGCCAGAACCCAAATTCTCTCTCAGCAGGTTCAGCAAGAAGCTACCAACCAAACCCACTTCCCCCTCCTTTTCTGAGTGAAACCCTGGTTTTTGCCTTTGCCTGAAAACAGGAAACTGAAGAATGTGGAGTTTCTTGAAATTCTTGTTTGCTAAAAGTATTCTGGTTTGCACTTCTGGCCGCTGGTACTGTCACCACCTGCACTTGGTCATATGGGGCAATAGAGACAAGCAACGCCATACTTCATTACAGAAATGAGGAACTCAGTGACCCAGCAGCCTGCAGTCCAATGGCACGGGGGTCACCTCTAGACCTGGGCATCCAGGGCACATGCACAGCCTCTGGCAACCTCAGAGTTACACCATTTTTTGTGCCACTCAGACATTAGCTTAAAAAAGGCAAGAATGAGGTAGTCCCAGAGTTCTCTTCCGTGGTTTTAGAACAGAGGCTGGGTGTGGTGACTCATGCCTGTAATCCCAGCACTTTGAGAGGCCAAGGAGGGCAGATTACCTGAGGTCAGGAGTCCGAGACCAACCTGACCAACAGGGAGAATCCGTGTCTCTAGTAAAAATACAAAATTAGCCGGGGGTGGTAGCACATGCCTGTAATCCCAGATACTCGGGAAGCTGAGGCAGGAGAGTCACTTGAACCCAGGAGGTGGAGGTTTCGGTGAGCCAAGATCGCGCCATTGCACTCCAGCCTGGGCAACAACAAAAAACTGTCTCTAGATGCTAAAATGACCCTACCGGGGGTGCCTGAAGGAAACCAACAGTTTAGAAAGAACAAGTCAGCAACCACGCCCCTAGTGTCACTGAGGGGCCAGGAATGTCCTCTGCCCGAGGGTCAAAGACAGGGGTAGGGGCACATCTGGCTAAAACTGGCCTCTTGGAAACAACAGGGCTGACTGCCTGGCAAGCCAGGGCCTAGGAGGACAACACTCACTTGCCAGCACCCCCAGGGTGCCGACGCACCGGTGGGCACTCCACTTACGGAGGCAGGAACCCCTCCCTGGAGGGTTCCTAGAAAGTGCACTACCTTGCTTTGCCTACCGGCAGTCTTGCTGGGTAGGGCTGTCCTCCTCCCTGGGCAGAGGTAGTAAGCTGTTCAAGCAAGGACTTACACCTGGCCGGGTGCAGTGGCTCACGCCTGTAATCCCTGCACTTTGGGAGGCTGAGGCAGGTGGATATCTTGAGGCCAGGAGTCCAAGCCTGGCCAACATGGTGAAACCCCGTCTTTACTAAAAATACAAAAAATAGCTGGGGGTGGTAGCAGGTACCTGTAATCCCAGCTACTCGGGAGGCTGAGGTAGGAGAATCACTTGAACCCAGGAGGTGGAGGTTGCAGTGAGTAAAGACTGCGCCACTGCACTCCAGCCTGGGAGACAGAGTGAGACTCCATCTCAAAAAATAAAAATAAATTTAAAAAATTTAAAAAAAAAAAGGACTTACACCTAAAAGGTCAGTCTTAAGCAGATGGTAAAATGAACAAAGGCACTCTCCTTGTCTTAGGAAAGAGTCATTGGCCCACAATGGCAGATTCTGACAAACCGGTGGTTTCCTCACTACCTAAACTCAGCTCTGAGACCTCTTGCCTGGCATTCAAGACCTCGGACTACCTCCCACTATTCCCTGAGAGGCTCTGAATCTCTACCACCCACTTCATCTCAACTTCACTTACATTGCTAATTAAATATCACATACGGGTATGTCTGTCTTTCCAGCTGTAAGTTCTAAAGGGTAGAGGCCTCATCTTGTATCTTTGACATTATCCTGAGTCTCTGGCACAATGCTGGGCACAAAGTGGGCAACTCAATACATCACGTTGTATGTTAAATTCCAAGGCCAAGCATGCACCCCCATGTCTATCATATCAACAAAAAAGATCTCTCAGAGTGCTTGCTTTCTTTTAAATGCCATGTTTTGGCTGGGCTCAGTGGCTCACACCTATAATCCCAGCATTTTGGGAGGATCACTTGAGCCCAGCCTGGGCAACATGGTTAGATCCTGTCTCTCACTTTTTTTGAGATAGGGTCTGGCTCTGTTGCCCAGGCTGGAGTGTAGTGGTGTGATCTCAGCTCACTGCAGCCTCCACCTCCTGGGCTCAAGCCGTCCTCCTACCTCAGCCTCCCAGGTGGGACCATAGATGCACAGCACCACACCCAGCTAAGTTTTGTATTTTTTTTTGTAGAGATGGGGTTTCACCATGTTACCCAGACTGGTCTCAGACTCCTGAGCTCAAGGGATCTGCCCACCTTGGCATCCCAAAGTGCTGGGATTATAGGCATGAGATACCTCACCCAGCCTGTCTCTATTTAAAAAAAAAAAAAGGCTGGGCACAGGAGCTCACTCCTGTAACCCCAGGCCAGGATGGCTGGCCTGTAATCCCAGCACTTTGGGAGGCTAAGGTGGGCAGATCATCTGAGTTCAGGAGATTAAGACCAGCCTGGCTAGCCAGGCGTGGTGGCTCACACCTATAATCTCAGCACTTTGGGAGGCCAAGGCGGGTGGTTAGGAGTTCAAGACTAGCCTGGCCAACATGGTGAAACCCTGTCTTATTAAATTAAAAAAAAAAAAAAAGACCAGCGTGGCCAACATCATGAAACCCCGTCTCTACCAGAAATACAAAAATTAGCCAGGCATGATGGTGAGTGCCTGTAATCCCAGCTACTCAGGAGGCTGAGGCAGGAGAATTACTTGAACCTGGGAGGTAGAGGCTGCAGTGAGCCAGGATCACACTACTGTACTCCATCCTGAGTCTTAAAAGCCATGTTGTAGCAACGGGGTATCTGACAAAAGTTGTTTCTGCTTTTTTGGGGTCTGATTTAGCCTGTTTGTGGGACTTTCCAAAGTATCCCAAACATCAGGAACACACGTTGACAGAGAGTGGGGAGGACTCCTCAGGACCGAGTGTGGACGCAGCAGCACTGTCCAGCTGCTCTTGGCCCTGTGGTTTCTCTTTGGCCCAGGGCCCTGTCCTCAACGGCTATGTGCCAACCTCTCAGTCTCTATGTGGAGAAAAGTGCTTGTGGTTTAGGATCTTGAGGTGCGATTCCCTGAAGAGGGAGCAAGAAGAAAAGGGAACCAAGTGTGGCAAGAAAGAGCAGCAGCGTTTTTGGGATCAATTTTTATTTGGGCTTCTCACAGTGGTTAGAGCCACTCTGTCTTCAGAACAATCACAGCACAGGAAATGCATCACCGAGACTGCCCAGAAAAGTCTGACCAGCTGAATCTTATTGCTTAAAATACACATATTCACAATAACTGACAAAGGGTAACGTGCCTCACACAGGAATGTGTTCGCATTTGCAAATCTTCCAACTGGCTGTAGCACCAAACCCTCCACCAACCCCGTCTCATTCACCTGGAAAACCAGCCTCAGCCACATCTCCCTGGCCCCCAAATGATTCCTTCAACTCCCGATTAAATCTCTCTGAGCAGGGCAGCCTGTAGCGGGCGCCAGGCTGCAACTCGGGAACCAAGCCCGGCTCCGCAGGTTGCATTTCCGTCTTCTCGAGACTTAGGGTAGGATGCTGCAGTGAATCCCACGGTTAACCTTCGACCAGTTCCCTACTCTCACTGGGGAAAGGAACTTGAGAGGGTCAGAACTCATCCATTTGATCTATTGACTGAAAAAGGATTCCTTTTGGTAAAACTTGTTGGCCTCTGAGACACTTCAGTGAGTTATTTGGGACTATTAAAAAAATGAAAGGTGGAAGGAAAGGCATCTGAGGGCCGTGACACACTCCAGCCACCTCTGGCCACAAGCCAGCTCGCTTGCGCCTGCTGGACTCAGCCGAGGGAGGCAGGCCTTGAGGTTCCTCTGGTGCCCACAAAGCCTCCTCCTGGCAATTCTGGGCAGGGCTGACGTCTTGGCCACAGCTAGTCCAAGCCTGTCCTTGATCACCCAGTCAAGCTTCTGTTTGAAATTCCACCTTCTTCTGTCCCAAGTGGTTATGGACACCCCCGGGGGCTGGTACCCAGGACCAGCAGCAGCCGAGGGAGGCAGACAGGCTCAGAGCACACTTCCATTTACAGGGAACAGAATGCAGGCCTCTGAGTGTCCACGGAGCAATGTGCAAATCGCAGTGATGCGTAGAGTAAAACCTCTACTTCGAGCACAGTATCTCTGGCAAACACAGGGGACTGCAGTCGACAACGCTGCGGAATACACCCGAGTACACAGTCAGACATTTGTTCGGTAAACAGTAAATGGGGAAGATCAATTACCTTGAGAGGACCATCCATGCTCCAGGGGTGTGGTTCACACGGGGAGAATGGCTGCCACTCAAAGTATCTTCACAGGAAAACAGGGCTCGAGGCTCACACACAACAGACAGACATACACAGCTCACCCAGAAAGTCACTGTGTATAAACTTGACTTTGTTCAACGTGGATTTTGGTTTTGTGGAATTCAAATGCAGACACTCATTTACACACAGCCTTGGATTTGTCTGTTTTTGGACATATATATATGTCCAAAATATATATGTATATATATATATTTTTTTCTTTCCTTCTTCCATAACATCAATGGTTTGTCTGAATATCATCATCGTTCAAGAGTTGGGGGAAAAACAGACACTTCATATGCACAGGGCTGGGCGGGGAATGTTCGTTTCGGCTGTTGGCTGCCTCCAATCAGATTTTCCTATCACAGCTCAGCTGGTGACCTAAAGCCGAGCAACAGGCACAGGGGTCCTCAGGGCCTTCCGGACGGCCACTTTCACCTCCTGCCTCGGCCACCAAGTCTCCACAAAGAAAAATGAGTCACCCGACTCAAAAGGGGTGAGGGCAGAGGCAGGGACAAGGCATGAAAACCACAGATAACCAAGGTATTTCTTCCAAGTGGTCAGTTCAAAACAAACAACAACCACACACAAAAAAACCCACAAAAAATATGTATTCAGAATCAAGACCAAATACTGCGTGAGAGCCAGGCTACAGAGGCCCTTTCTCAGGGGCCATTGCTTCCTCAGTCTGCTGTTTCCTCATATGGAACAGTGAGACATGAAGGGTGGCAGAGTGTGTGTTTGGGACGCAGGCTGACACGCGTCACCGGTGGACACAGACCAAAGGGCAGAGAGGCAGAGGGCAGCACCTCTATCCACGGCTGAGGCTTAGGGCCTCCTGCTCACGGAAGCTCTGAGAGCATTCACACGAGACATCTCCTTCTGGCTCAACAGCAGCCAGGCTCTTTGAAGGCCAACCTGGGAAAGAGCCACAAACATCATTTTCCAGAAGAGAATGTTGCCTGCCCACCGGTGACGTTCTTATTTTCAGCTGTCTTTTGTTGTTTGTTTTTAGAGGAAAAAAAAAACAAAACAAAATTAAACAAAGAAAGAAAAGGCAGTATAATCTTTCATACCAGAACCAGCCTGCAACCAGCCAGATCCCCGGAGAAGAGGCCCCTCAAGGACACATGGGGTGCGTTGATCTTGTCACCTGGAATTCGACAGATCGACCAGCCCCCTACCAACCTATCATACAACGGCCTGGCAGCTCTCATCCTTCCACAGGATTTGCTCAATGCTGGCTCAGCAGCCGCTGCAGCCACAGTGACAAGCCCTGGGCCTCTGTGCGCTTCCTTCTTCATCCAGGGCCAAGATGGGCTGCCTCTCCCGGACTGAGACACAGTGATGTTCTCTTAAACTAGAATCAGAGCACAAACCTACTCCATCACCAAGAATCATGTCAGGGCACAGTCCCAGCCTCCTTCCTTGGGGGCTTTTAAAACACATTTCTCTTCCCATCTCTCTGACTCAAGTAGGTAGGTGAGATTTGACTTTAAAGAAAGGGGATGGAGTTGGGAGATGAGAAATGAGTCCCAGAACCAACTCAGCCGTCTACAACACTGTGCCCTTGTTGGGGGAAGAGGCATCCACACCTCGAACTGTACCTGGTGATGGAGGAAAATGCAGGAGAGAAGAAAAACAAACAAAAAAAAGGAACCAGGTGGCTGTACTCTGAAAGTCATTTAATGCTTCTCTCGTGGTTCTCCCCTACCCTGGTTGCTTTGCTGAGTTCCTGGGTGCTGGCAGGACCTGCTCTAGCTGGGGGAGCTGCTGCTCTGGGAGTTGGGAGAGTCCTGCTCGTTGATGGTGTTCAGAAGCAGGCATGCAGGCGGCCGTGGCAGGTGCGGGTGCCCAGGCTCTCGAGCCTGCTCCTCAGAGGGCTGGCAGAGGCCTTCCTCCTCGTCACCAGGGGGCCGCACATGGCAGCTGTCGCAGAAGTCCAGGGGCCCATCCAGAGCGTCGTCGATGAGTGTGTTGAACTCTTTGAGGTCATCGTCATGGTGGCCCCGGTTGCATACACACACTTCAATGCCCGAGTCACCCGTGAAGCGGCGATGTCTCCCAGGCGTCTTCTCTTTGCTGTCGGGCGGTGCGCTGCCAGGTTCAGAGCTGTCATCTTTCAGCAGCTCCTCCCTACACTCTGCATCCTTGTCCAGGAAGGCCCCTGGGTCCAGCTCCCCCAGGCCGGCCACAGAGCCACTGGGCTCCATCCCCGGGGCTTTGGTGGCTACTCGGTCAACTGGTAGGTCAGAGGGCTCAGGGTCAGCAATGCTGGGGGGTCTTGTGCTGCTTCTGCTGGGCCCAGACAAGGGGCTGCTCTGTGCCCCCTGGGATCCCCTGGTGGGATCAGTGCCGCCCGGAGGACTGCCACCTGCAGGGCCACACTGTGGAGGCAGCAGCTGCTGCTGCTGTAGCTGGAAGGCACTGTATGGTGGGGGAGGAGTTGGAGGTCGGTTCACCACTTCCTCATAAGGAGGTAGTAAATAGTTTGGCAAAAACCCTAGAAGGGGAGGTAGGAAGGAGAAATTACTGCACGGGTCACTGTTCTAGGGCAGACTGCAAAGCTCCCACTCAACACCTGCAGTGTCTCTTCCCGTCCCAGAGCACCCACCAAGCGATGGCTACAGCTCTTGGTGGTGGGCAAAGGAGAAACAGCTGCAAGCAATCCTGCAGAGAGAGGGACAGTTTGGGAGTGGCCTAACCTAGCTTCTTGAAATCTGAGAGCCCCTAAAGCTGCTTCCTAAGGCAAGGACTTCATGCCTGCTGGGAGTTAAGGCAGAGAGTCAGGCAAATGTGGTAGATGGCCAAGATCACTTCTGCCTGGAGTGGGCCTCTTTCCACATGCACACGAGTCTCATGTTTCTGGCTAAGACTATGTCCTTCATCTAAATCCCAATGGCCTCAGGGCCAGGGACCCTAACTTAAGACTTCGTAACTACTTGTCTTCCTCCTAACCTTCCAAACGCACTATGTAGAGGGTCTTTTGCTGTGGGGTTAGAAATCTCTGTTGTCTCCAGTGTGGCTGGAGGTGGTCTGGAAACACAAACCAAGTTCCACCTTGACTCAGATCAGGAGCAAGTGTGACCAGTGAAGGGTGAGGGTCCTCTGTCTTCCAAGGCTTATTAAAAACAGCTAGGAGGCTGGGCATGTGGTAGCTCATGCCTGTAATTCCAGCACTTTGGGAGACTGAGGTGGGTGGATCACCTGAGGTCAGGAGTTTGAAATCAGCCTTGCCAATGTGGTGAAACCCTGTCTCTACTTAAAGAACAACAACAAAAAAAATTAGCCAGGCGTTATGGTGGGCACCTGTAATCCCAGCTACCTGGGAGGCTGAGGCAGGAGCATCACTTGAACCCAGGAGTTGGAGGTTGCAGTGAGCCAAGATCATGCCATTGTACTCTAGCCTGAGCAACAAGAGTGGAAACTGTCTCTCCAAAAAAAAAAAAAAAAAAAAAGCTAGGTGATTTATCTTTTGAATGTGCTGAATGCTTTATAACACAGATAATTTAATTATAATATAACATTAGTAACATTTATTGAACACTTACTATATGCCAGGCTTTCTGCTAAGCACTTAACCCATCTAGATGTAGAACTGAAATAACTGTGTGCTGGCATGGTGGCTTACACCTGTAATACCAGCACTTTGGGAGGCCGAGGTGGGCAGATCACTTGAGCTCAGGAGTTCGAGACCAGCCTGACCACCGTGGTGATACCCCATCTTTAATAAAAATACAAAAATTAGCAGGGTGTGGTGGCACACGCTTGTAGTCCCAACTACTCAGGAGGCTCAGGCACAAGAATCACTTGAACCCAGGAGGAGGAGGTTGCAATGAGCTAACGCCACTGCAGTCCAGCCTGGGTGACAGAGTGAGATTCTGTCTTAAAAAAAAAAAAAGTAGAATTACATGCCTGTAATTCCAGCAGTTTGGGTGGCCCAGGTGGGTGGATCACGGGGTCAGGGGTTCAAGACCAGCCTAGCCAACATACTGAACACTGTCTCTACTAAAAATACAAAAAATTAGGCCCACGTAGTGTGGGCGCCTATAATCCCAGCTACTTGGGAGGCTGAGGCAGGAGAATTGCTTGAACCCGAGAGGCAGAGGTTGCAATGAGTGGAGATCATGCCACTGCACTCCAGCCTGGGCAACAGAGTGAAACTCCATCTCAAAAACAAAAATAAAAATAAAATAAAACAATTATGAAAGCTTATTTTGTAGAATACTGCAGACCGGCTTTGGGAAAGTGGCAGCCGGGCCTCCACTGACCATCTGAGAGGTCACATGTAAGGAGCCCCAGGGAAATCTGGAAAGTGCTCTTCAGACCGTCACTGTTTCTTGGTGCTCAGAAGTCCCAATGCCACCCCTCTACCCGCCCCTTTCATGGCAGCTTCTGCTCAGGCATACGACATAGAAATAAGCAAAATGGGAGGATTTCAGGCTACTGAACCCCAAATCTCAACTCACTCATATTATATACTGAGTCCTGACCTCAAATGATCTGCCTGCCTCAGCCTCCTGAACTGCTGAGATTATAAGTGTGAGCCACCAAGCCTGGTCCACAACTGTTTCAATTCCACATCTAGAAGGACTAGGTGCTTAGCACAGTACCTGGCATATAGTAAGTACTCAATAAATGTTAATTATCGTTATATTATCTGACTGTCTGCCATTAAAGATGGGGGGAGGTAGGGAGGGAAAGAAAGGAAGGAAGGAAGAAAGGGAGGGAGGGAGAGAGGGAGGGAGGCAGGCACGCTGGGGCGCAGTGGCTCACGCTTGTAATCACAGAACTTTGGGAGGCCGAGGCGGGTGAATCACGAGGTCAGGAGCTCGAGATCATCCTGGCTAATATGGTGAAACCCCATCTCTACTAAAAATACAAAGAATTAGCAGGGTGTGGTGGCGTGCGCTTGAAGTCCCAGCTACTTGGGAGACTGGGTCAGGAGAACTGCTTGAACCCAGAAGGTGGAGGTTGCAGTGAGCTGAGATCACACCACTGCACTCCAACCTGGGGAACAGAGTGAGACTCCATCTCAAAAAACTAAAAAAGAAACCAAAAAAAAAAAGAAAGGAAGGAAGGAAGGGAATGAGTGGAGAGGGAGGGAGAAAAAGAAAGAAAGGAAGAAAGAGAGAGAGAGGGAGGGAGGCAGGGAGGGAGTAAAGTAGGGAAGGAGGAGGGAACCTGATGAAAGGGCAGAGATCCAGCCAGAACCCGGCCACTGTGAGCTTTGGAATGGCCCAGTGGCTTCAGGGAACTGCATCCCTAGCACCTGCTTCTCTGTGCTGAAGGAGTGCCCCCTTGTTCCTGTACTTTCAAGACCTCGCTCTGTGGAGGGGCAGAGAGAGAACAAACCCCCTATGCCTACAGGGGCCCTGGCCACCAATATTCAGTCTGAGCCCTGGGTCTGTGCACCTGAGTTTCTGAGGGTGGGTATGGGGTCTCGTTATATACTGAAACCTGAGCTTCTGAGGGTGGGTATGGGGTCTCGTTTTATTTCATTATATACATACTGAAATAAAATGGCAGCGCTGAGTAATTGTGGGCTTCTCGGTAGGCGATCAGGTTGATTTCATGTTGCCGCTGCTGGGCCTGAAGGCGGTGCTTGGCTCGGCGGTGGTGGCAGACACAGCAGCAGCTCAGGATGATGATGATGGTCCACACCAGCCAGAACCCTGGGGGGTGGGCGAGGCAAGACAGAGAGGCACGCACACACAGTGAGTACCAGCCAGAGGGGCAACTCACAGAACAGGGAGGTCCCTGGACAGTGCCCAAGTGGTTAAAGCTGGCAAGGCTGGGCCTCACCTAGTTAATTTACATTGAAGCCATGTGATCAATTTTTGTAAATGTTTGTGCCAGAGTGAAAGACACATGAAATAGAAGTGGGCAGGAATGTAAGAATGATGACAACAGACTGGGCACGGTGGCTCATGCCTGTAATCCCAGCACTTTGGGAGGCTGAGGCAGGTGGATCACCTGAGCTCAGGAGTTCGACACCAGCCTGGCCAACATGGTGAAACCCCATCTCTACTAAAAACACAAAAATCAGCCAGGTGTGGTGGCAGGTGCCTGTAATTCCAGCACTTTGGGAGGCTGACATGGATGGATCACCTGAGCTCAGGATTTCAAGACCAGCTTGGCCAACATGGTGAAACCCTGTCTTTACTAAAAATACAAAAACCAGCCAGGTGTGGTGGCAGACACCTGTAATCCCAGCTACTCAGGAAGCTGAGACACAACAACCACTTGAATTCAGGAGAGGGAGGTTGCAGTGAGCCAAGATTGTGCCACTGCACTCCAGCCTGGGCAACAGAGTGAGACTGTCTGGGGGGAAAAAAAAGAATGGCTGTGTGTGGTAGCTCACGCCTGTAATCTCAGCACTTTGGGAGGCTGAGGTGGGCAGATCACCTGAGGTCAGGAGTTCAAGACCAGCCTGACCAACATGGAAAAACCCCATCTCTACTAAACATGGTGACACATGCCTGTAATCCCAGCTACTCGGGAGGCTGAGGCAGGAGAATCACTTGAACCGGGGAGGCGGAGGTTGCCGTGAGCTGAGATTGCACCATTTCATTCCAGCCTAGGCAACAAGAGCGAAACTCTGTCTCAAAAAAAAAAAAAAAAAGAATCACTAAAGTTAGAGGTGGAAAAATTCTAATTGCCTCAGGTCCATCTCCTCCCTAGAGAGTGTAAATGATTTCCTCTGCTCTCGACATAATCCTAGTTGGGTACAATTCCATCTCCCACTGCCATGGACTTCCCCTCCCTTTGGCCTGCCTTTGCAGTAGACTCAGGGTTATTAGCAGCCCCTTCTTTCTCTCTGCTCCAGGGAAGGGTGGTGGCACAGAGGCCAAGGCCCACAGTCCTTTATTTCTCTCTCTGCTGTCTCTGGGATCATACTCAGAGAATCTCAGCAAACCCCAATATAAGACAAGCCCTCCTCCCCAATTTTCAAATGTATGGCACAAAAGGCTTTTAAATATATTTTTTTAAATTAATGAGCAGTTTTGCTTTTAACATACACACACATACACATGTACACACAAGGGGGAAAGAACTGAAAGGAAAACAAAAATAATGACATCTTTAAATGACAGAATAAGAAACCTAAATTTTCTTCTTTTATTATCTTTCAAATTATAAAACTAGAAACAAACTGATTTTCTTTTTTTTCTGAGACAGGGTCTTGCTCTGTTGCCCAGGATGGAGTGCAGTGGTGCGATCACAGCTCAACCCAAGCCTCGACCTCCTGGGCACAAGCTATCCTTTCACCCCCGCCTCCTGAGTAGCTGGGACTACAGGCACATGCTACCGTGTCTGGCTTTCTCACTATGTTGCCCAGGCTGGTCTTGAACCCCTGGGCTCAAGAGATCCTCCCGTCTCGGTCTCCCAAAGTGCTGGGGTTACAAGTGCGAGCCAGCACACCCGGGCAAAACAAATTAAAATTTAAAAAATATGTATGAGTAATTTTATTTTTGCTAGCTTTTGTTTTTTTAATCAATAAATTAATTTTTGGGTTGCCTTTTAAATTCCTCTGGGATTATGGCTATACAATGAAATAATATGAATCATTAAAACATTACTCAAAGAATATTATTTTCGACATAACAAAGAGTTTCTGACATTAAATGAAAAAAAGCAGATGACAAAATAAAATACGATTCTAACTTTTGCTTAAAAAAAGTATGTATGGGCCGGGCGCAGTGGCTCACGCCTATAATCCCAGCACTTTGGGAGGCCGAAGAGGGTAGATCATGAGGTCAAGAGATCAAGACTATCCCGGTCAACATGGTGAAACCCTGTCTCTACTAAAAATACAAAAACTAGCTGGGCATGGTGGAGCACGCCTATAGTCCCAGCGAGTTGGGAGGCTGAAGCAGTAGAATTGCTTGAACCCAGGAGGCAGAGGTTGCGGTGAGCCGAGATCATGCCATTGCACTCCAGCTTGGGTAACAAGAGCAAAACTCCATCTCAAAAAAAAAAAAGTATGTATGGACAGAGAAAGGAGGGGGATGAGCAGGAAGCTCTAACCACGAGGTAACTCTGGACAGCAGGACAGCACTAGCTCCTTTGTTCTTTGCTTACCTATATTTCCTAATTTTTCTAATTAGGACATGTACTTCTCTGTAGCAGAAAGAATATTTTTTTCTCAATTAAAAATGTATCAAAGGAATAATTTTAAGATGTGCTGTTACTAAATGAGAACAGATAACACAGTTTGTTCTCTATTCTTGCAAAACTTCCATTTTTTCCACTACAAATGCTGTGTATTTTTTATCATCTGCTTTGTAATTATAAATTTGTGTTTAACATTTTGAAACTATTTCCACATGCATGTCTTGTCAGAATGAGTTAAATCAAGTTAACCTGGTTTAAAAAAAAGAAAAAAAATGCCTCCCTCCCCTACAAAAGAGACTTGTATAAATGAACAAATCCTTGATGTTTTCTCCCCCTTATTTGTATATACACACAATTTTCCAAAAGATCCCCCTGGCATTTAGGGTGTGTCATCTGGCGACAGCTCTTTCTGTCCCCCTGGGATGCCCACACTGAGTCTCCCCACAAAGCTGCCCTCCACCAACAGCGGCAGGACGGTGATATGGCCCTCCAGCCCCGGCAGGCTGGCAACACCATTCCACGGCACTTCATTGCTTTCAGCAGATACCGCTGTCCTACCAAACCTTCATGCTGAGGCCTTACAGCAAGAGAACAGGCAGAGGGCAACAAACAGAGGTTTTTCTTTTCCTGTTACCCATCAGCAGACAGGAAAACCCATTCCTAACTGGAGACCATAAAGTGAACTTAGAACCTGTTGGTCTTTCCCAGTTCACTAGTCAAACCTGCTTAACTTCTGTTTCTTTATTTATGAATGCTGGCTGATTTAAGACTAGACACTGGCAGAGGAACCCTCAGAGAAGGGTGGAGAAGCTGGACAGGAGCTATGGGGCTGAGCTGGCTACAGGCGCAGCTTGGTAACATCTCCTAGGGGTGTTAGGGTGGACACTTGCTTAAGAACCTGGCTGCATGTGCATTTTAGAGTCAAGTCTACATGATTCTGAGTGGACCACTGTTCTGTATTAACTATACTTCTCTTACTTCCCCAGAGTAATCTCACAGTCCATTATACTTCTGTGTTACTTCATAACTTTTTTTTTTTACTTTATTATTATTATTTTTTTTGAAACAGAGTCTCATTCTGCTGCTCAGGCTGGAGTACAGTGGCACGGGAACTTGGCTAACTGCAACCTCCACTTTCCAGGCTTAAGTGATTCTTGTGCCTCAGCCTTCTGAGTAGCTGGGACTACAGGTGCATGCCATTACACCCATCTAATTTTTTGTGTGGTATTTTTAGTAGAGATGAGTTTCACCATGTTGCCCAGGCTGGTCTCAAACTCCTGAGCTCAAGTGATCTGCCCGCCTTGGCCTCCCAAAGTGCTGGGATTACAAGTGTGAGCCAACATGCCTGACCAATTTTTTTAAACTTATTTTTAAGATACAGGGTCTCACCGTATTATTATTATAGGGTGGACTGCAGTGGTATGAACACAGCTCACTGCTACCTCAATTTCCTGGGCTCAAGTGATCCTCCTGCCCTGGCCTCCTGAGTAGCTGGGACTACAGGCATGCACCAGCACACCTGGCTGATTTTGTTATTGTTGTTGTTGTAGAGATGAGGTCTCAACAAGTTGCCCAGGCTGGTCCCAAACTCCTGGTCTCAAGCAATCCTCCTGCCTCAGCCTCCCAAACTGCTGGGATTACAGGTGTGAGATACTGCAGATGGGCAAGCATTAAAATTTCACAAGTACATTCTCTCATTAGATAATCAGCATCTGCTTGGCACAGAGGCTCACACTAAAATCCTAGCTACTTGGGAGGCTGAGATGGGAGGACTGCTTCTTGTGAGATCAGCCTGGGTAACACAGATAAACTCTGTCTCTTAAAAAAAGATAACCAGCCAGCACTTTGGGAGGCCGAGGCGGGTGGATCACGAGGTCAACAGATCAAGACCATCCTGGTCAACATTGTGAAACACCGTCTCTAATAAAATTACCAAAAATTAGCTGGGCACGGTGGCGCGTGCCTGTAATCCCAGCTGCTTGGGAGGCTGAGGCAGGAGAATTGCCTGAACCCAGGAGGTGGAGATTGCGGTGAGCTGAGATCGCGCCATTGCATTCCAGCCTGGGTAACAAGAGCGAAACTCCGTCTCAAAAAAAAAAAAAAAAAGATAACCAGCATCTAACTCTTACTAGTGTTTTACCTGCCCATCAGTCATTTTTTCAACAGTTCTCTGCCTAAAGGTAAACCAACTCCTAACTTTTATACTGCAATATATATAATCTATTCCACAGCTTCTACAATTAAAAAAAATTAATTAAAAACATTTTTTTGAGACAGGTATTACTCTGTCACTCAGGCTGGAGCGCGGTAGAGATCAGAACTCACTACAGCCTCCAACTCCTGGGCTCAAGGGATCCTCCCACTTCAGCCTCTCCAGTAGCAGGACTACAGCTGCACACCACATCTGGCTATTTTTTAAATTGTTTGCATAGATGGTGGGTGGGGAATCTCACTTTGTTGCCCAGGCTGGTCTCAAACTCTTGGCTTCGAGCAATCTTCTTGCCTTGGCTCCCAAAGTGCTAGGATTACAGGTATGAGCCACCACACCTGGCCAAAA